CTGATTTATCTAAAATGCAAAACAGATCATATCATTCTCCCACTTAAAATCTTGCAAGAGTGCCACGGATAAAGTCCCAATGTCCTGTGCTCTGGCTCTGGCCACCCCCTCCCCCAGCCTCATCTCCAGCCACACTGAGCCGGCTCTGCCATATCTGCTGCTGCCCGCGTGGCTCCCTCTGCCCTGCACACCTCATCCCAGTGCTTCACCTGGCTGACCATCCTTACCTGTCACAATTCAGGTCAAACGCCGCCTCCTCTGGACACTTCCCTAGCCATTCTGCCCCCTGCCCACCTCCTCACCCCTGCCACCCCAGTGTGGGTTAGAGGTACACACATCCTCCTTGTCTTCACTGCACTGTGAGCTCCTTTAAGGACACAGACTATGACTTACTGATCCTCCCTTCCCTGGCACGTCACGTAGTACCGAGCGCGTGGTATATACACTCCACCGCGTCCATGAAAGGCCTGGAGCTTTGGGGTCCCAGAATGGCAGTTAAATGCCACATGTTCTGCTGTGGCCAAGGCTTGAGGGCAGGGAACCTCCCCTGGTGCTTTAGAAGTGGACGATCACAGGGGAGCATTCATCCCGTTCCTCTTCTCGGGTACCCAAGGAACACTAAACATTTCCGAGCAGCTATATTTATAGGTGTTCTTTTGAAATTCTAGCAAGCATTATACAGACCAGAAGCAAAACGTGTCTAGGGATCTACGCCGGGTCATAACAAAAAACATCCAGCTGATTTCGTGTGTGCCCTCCCTCCAAAGGCAGGATCTGACCCCAGTGTTTCTACCCCAGGGCTCAGGCTTTAAGGTGAGCAAAGGACACTCCGGGTCCCTTTTGGCCACTAAGTCATCTAAATGTGTTCTGAGTGACCCTGTTATAAACCGTGTAGCTGTTTCTGACTACGTGTGGGAGCATGACATACCCGAGGTGGAAATGAGTCCTACTGCAGTGCATCGCACTGGATGCATAAACTTTTATGGAATAACAATAATACTGTCTCTACCCTTTGAAGCAAATTGGATAAACTGGGGCAAAAGCAGGGAATACTTGTGTAAACAAAAACCATTGCCCACCACACCAGTTCTACAAGGGTTAAGCCTTCAGCCCCTGCGGCTGCCCACCGCCCACTGACAGCGCGCCCTGGCCCCTCAATAGTTAAGATGCATATCTAAGGAAAAATTTTAAATGACCCCAGATTTTTGCATCTTCCCATATATAGAAAAGCACAAAAATCATTAACTTGTGATGTCTGTTCTTTGTGATCAGTAGTAATTTTTTGATGTTTGACTACATGTCTTTTCCAGCAAAAAAAAAAATTTTTTTTCATATATATCCTGGTTCCTCCTTTACCCCTTTGGAGCAGTTCCTCGGAGTTATAGTTCTCTGTAAGGTCTTCGAATAAAACTTAACTCACAACTTCCCTGTTGTGTGTTTCTCTTTCAGTGACACCTGGGAGGTGGTGTTGAGACAGAAAGAGGCTGTTTCTCAGATTGGAGATGACTTTGGATCCACGTTCAAAATTATTTAGTGGGTTATTCAGAACAAAACTGGTGCTTCATAAGGGAACTGAACAAGGGTTTTAAATTACAGTTCTATTCTATAATAATAATTTACTGAAAACAAGACTGATGGTGTACAGTCCGGTGTCTGTGGCAGCCCACGCAAGTGGTGAACTCGGGCTCTCTGGATTACGAGGCTATCCCCTGGGCGTTTCTAGTCAGTGGCCACAGGACACCCTCATCACAGGTAAAGTGTCCCCAACGCCAGGAATCGGCCTCTTGAAGCCTGCCTTATTAACAGAAATGTAAAGACGCACAAGAACTGCGTGTCCTTATCACAAACTCCTTCAACACATGGGTGGAATGTCACCTACATAACCTGGTAGGTTGCAGTTGGGCCGTATGGTACAAAACCCAGCTTTCTTAAACCAGTAGCAACCTCTAAAATCTTTTAGAGAAAAGGAAACTTTGCGTCTGATCTTAGAGACAAGGTTCACAGTGTGAGTAATGCCCATCAGTTATCAGTAATTTAGCAGGCTGTGCCAGTGTTGGCATTTGTTCTTGGCTTAACTGTGCTTGAGTGTGCGTTTTAAACAATGAGGCAGCTGTCCTCATTCCTGGCAATTAGGGTATAAAAATGGTGTTCACTGAATCTGGCAGAGTGCTGAGTTCTCCATGTGTTTACTCTTTTGTTTGCAGGCCTTCTGAGTGTTTGCTGCAAGACTACAATCAGAATATCAATTTGGCTTCAAAATGGAACCCAGTTCCATATTAATAGGAACCACAGGGACTGCAGACCTCCCTGGCTCAAGATCTTCGGTCTCTGACTCCCACTGATGCTTGTGATTGTGTGTACGTGAAAGAGATGTCTTTGACTTCCTGCAGAGACAGGTTTAAAATCCCATTAGGATCGGAAGAGCAGTGTCCGCAGAGGCTCTCTGGACAATTGCTAATCATTTGCAGAGCATCAAACAATCCAAGTACCTCCCATAGGGAATACAGTCGTCCCTCAGTATCCTCATGATTGGTTCCAGGGGCCCCGTGGACCCCAGAACGCACCGGTGCGCAAGTCCCTCCCATAAAATGGCGTAGTGCTTGCACATAACCTATGCGCATCTCTAGATTACTGATATCACTATGATGTAAATGATACATAAATAGTTGTAAATACACTGTAAATGCCATGTGAACGATTGCTGGTGCACAGCAAATTCAAATTTGACTTTGGGAACCTTCTGGAATTTTTTTTCCCAAATATTTTCGATCCCTGGTTGGCTGAATCGGAAGATGTGGAACCTGCTGGATCTTGGGGGCCCACTATCCTGCCACAAAGTTCTAGCTGTGGCTTATGTCAGCGTCAATCTTCTTCCTGCTGATTGCAGGTGGCCAGGCCACTGAGGAGAGTCAGTGCCCAGGGCTTAAAGCCATGATTTTCCCTCGACTATTTTGGCTCTTGGTTTGGTGGGCTTTTTGCTGTAAGATTAGTTAGCTAATGTTAGTGTCAGCTAAGGTGGGGACCAGTGCCTTATTAGGTCGTGGCCAGTCTGAATAAATTACCTATGAAAAAAATAACTTACCCCTTTGGAAAACTGTTTAGTAGTAGTTGCTAAAGCTGAACATAAGAACTCCATGTCCTGGCAACTTCACTTCTAAGTCCTGACACCCAGCAGATAGACATACATAAATCCACCCAAAGACGTGCGCTGGAAGGTTCAACTACACGGATGTCCATCCACAGAAGAATGGGTCAGCAAGTTGTGCTACTATTACCGAGTCCAAACTCATTCTGCTCACCGCACAACAAGCTAATAAATCGGGAGATGAGGTGTTGGGGCAAGGAACAGTGACTTTATTCTGAAAGCTGGCAGATCGAGAAAATGGCAGATTAATGTCCTGGAGAACCATCTTACTCAAGTCAGAATTTAGGCTCCTTTTATACTAAAAAGGGGAGGGGCTGTGGTTGGCTGTAGCCGACTTCTTGCTGTAGGAATCCTTTGTTCTTGCAGCCGTCCAGGTGGGTCAGGTCATGGTGCCCCTGTAAAACCTCCAACAAAACAAATGTTATTTTCTATTCTGCAACTTGCTATCTTTATATAAGTGCAAAGTGTTAATATCCTTAAATGTCAGAGCCTTGAGAATAGGCTCTCCTGTATATTTCAGGCTAAAGGCAGTATTCTTTTACAAAAGGTACAGAGCTGGCAAGACTAAGCCTAGAAAACAGGGCACAGGGGTAAAGCCAAAGAAATGGATCTAATATGGAGTCAGATTTGGTTCTATTACAATTCTGTCCAATGATGGCCTACTATACACTCTTTATCTATAAACTATTTAAACTATTCTATTGCTGTGAAACAAATTACCTTAGCAGCTGAAAACCACACACTTACCGGCTCACAGAGGTGTAAGTCTTAAATCTGGGCCTGGGGCAGCTGGGTTCTCTGCTGAGGGCTTCACAGGCTGAAGTTCAGGTGCAGGTGCTGGAGCTCAAGAACCTCTTCCAAGCTCATTCGGGTTATTGGCAGAACTGAGGCTCCTTTTTGTAACTGGAGGACTGTGGGCCCCATTTCCTTGCTGCTTGTCAGCCAGGGGCCAATCCCAGCTCCTAGAGGCCATCAGCATCCTTTGCCATGTGGAACCTTCGGTCTTCAAAACCAACCATGAGGAATTTCCCTTGTGTCAGTCCCGCTCACGCTTCATTCCTCTTTCTCCAGGAAGAGCCCCATCCTTGTTAATGGCTCATGTGATCAGGCCCACTGAGAACAATCTCCATCTCTTAAAGCCAACTGATTTGGGCCTCAGTGACATCTGCAAAATGCCTTTACATCAGCACCTAGATGAACAAGACATCTGGGAGAGGATGTGAGTCCAAGAGAGGATGAGGAATCTTGGAGACTGTCTTAGAATTCTACCATCCACACCACACCATGGATGAACCTCACCGTCAATGGAGGGCAAAGGCAGTCCGCTGTGAAAGAACATACAATGTATGACTCCATCTGTATACAATGCAAGGACCGAAGCCCTGATCTTCGGTGTTAGAAATCACATTGTGATTACTCCTGAGTGCTGGAAAGTGGAAAGGAGCAGGAGGGGATCCTGGGGGATTGATAATATTTTTGTTTCTTGATCTGTGTGCTGGTTACGTGGTGTATCCAACTTGTGAACATTCAGCAAGCTGTACATTTTGAGAATGATTTGGATTTACTATTTTAAAATAGATACATTTGGCTTTCCCAAGGAAGTGTGCGTGCAAAGACAGCTATCAGAGTGGGGTACCTGATGAGAGGTGGAGAATAAGCAGGAAAGAAAAGGAAACGAGAGCACCTTGCCTGGAGTGATGGTGACAGACCTTCTGACCTTTGCAGGCGAGGGCCAACTAGGTGAAGAAGGAGTGCTGTTAACTTGACCTGTGAGCTGGACCTGCTACGTAATTTATGCGGCCCATTGCAAAGTCAAGTACTGGGCCTCCTTGTTCAAAAATTAAGAATTTGAAGACAGCAAAAGTGGAACATTAAGTCAAGGCTGGGGGGCAGGGGCTACAGTGCTGGTCCCACTGCCTGGAAGCCAGTCCTGCCTGTGTGTAGGGGATTAAGAGCTCCATCTGATTCCAGACGCCTCACTAGGTGAGTTACTTTGGGCAATGACTTTGAACCTGTTGACTGTAAAATGGGTTAGGAGATGCTAACTCTTTACATATTAAAGAGCAAGCACTTTGTGTGTTAAGACACCAAACAGATATGGCGAGTATTAGAATAATGGGCTGTCTAAATGTTTACCAGTTATTCCTTTAGGTGGCTAAAGAGCCTACTGGCAACCCCGTTGATAGTATTTAGTTGATACATAGATAGCCCGGGGTCCAGTTCCACCTTGTGAATTTTTATGAATTAAAACAAATTCCAGCATATTGGTGGAAACCTAATCATGGGATTTAACCGCGGGTTCTTTGGTCTTTCCAGCTCAAAGAGCAAACTATTAAATGCCAACGACACCAGAGTATTGGAGTCTGGACAATTTCCCATTGAAGTTTTTTCATGCTGAGATTCCAGTTTCTGTTAAGCTCGTAGGTGAAGCCCCGACCTGGTTCTAGAACCTCCCGGACTGGCTGGAGGACCCAGGGAAGGGGCATCCGAGAATCATCCAGCGAGGGCTCAGTGGTGACCGCCGGGGGCACGTGACTCCCAGGGGGGGTGGGAGATTCTGCGGTACCAGGCTGACAGGGCTGTCGCTGGAGTGCGGGGCGGGGGTGCGGGTGTGGAGGGGAGCCCATTTAGGGGTTAGGATTTCTGAAGAGGCACGACTTTGGCATTGCATTTTGGCGTTTATTTTCCCTGGTGTGCACTCTTGAAGCTCAGACCTTTCTAGACTTAGTGACTTACTAAAGCTTAGGGGGACTGTGGTACCCGAAGGCGACCAGCTGCCTGACCTAAGATTTACGAGTGGTTCCAAAGATGAGACAAGGTCCCAGTGTCTCGGTGACAACAAGGTCTTTGAAGAACGGCCGAGAGCTGCGGTTGGAGAGGGGGAGGAGACCCGTGGCAGGGGCGGCGGGCCCCCGAGTCTCCTCCCGGCAGAAGTTGGGCGCCCGGGGCGCGGGCGGGCAGCCCCGCAGGCCATCAGAATGCGGGAGCCGCGCGCTCCGTCCTTGAAGGGCTGCCCGGCTGACCTTGCTAGGCTTTCTCCGGAGAAATCTCCCCGAGAGCGCGAGGACGCGGCCACGGCGGTGACTCAGTGCCCTGCGCGCCGCATGCAAATAACTCCCATCCAGCCAGCCCAGCTCCGCAGCCGCGGCTTCCCTTCCTGCCTCCTTTTTAAAATAAATTCCAAGATGCAAACCCAGCGCTTTCGGCTCCACCCCTCCCCCTCTCCACCGCCTGCCTGTCGTTAGCCAGGCTGTCCGAGTGTTTTGTCCCCCACCTCCCATCTGCAGAACTGAAGGCCAACGTTCGTGTTCCCTCGCTGCGGGCCCGGGGATCAGACGTGGCCCGCCGGGGCCGGGAACCGCGCTGGGCGACCGATCCGGAGCCCGACCGGAGGGGGCGGTGCGCCGCGCTCCAGGCGCACAGGCGGACCTTGCCGGGACCCCGCTCCCTATTGGCCGCCACCTCGGCAGGAGGGACCGCCCGAGCTCGGGGCACCTGGCGTCGCCCCTCCGCAGGGAAATCAGAGGCTGCCGGGCACGGGCGCTCGGAGGCAAAGGTACCCAGAGCGAAGGCCTGGGGCCGCGGTCGACCTCCTTGAGGCGGGCCCTGTTGTGCCAGCCGCCGCGGCGCGTGCGACGTTCGGATGCCCCTGTGCGGGCTTCACCAGCCGGAAACTTTGCCCCGAGAAGTCCCCCACCCGCCTGACCGCGCCGGGAGGCGCCTGGTGGGCCGCGCGCCCCCGGGGGCCCCGCAGCCTGGCGCGTGATTGCGGGGGCCCCCAGGCGCCCGGCGCCCGCCGCGCCCCGCCGTGAGCGAGTGGCGGGCAGGATGCGCTACGCGGACCCCTCGGGGAGCCGGGATTTGTTAGGGAACCGAACTTTGCTCTTCATCTTCATTTGCGCCTTGCCTTGGTGACCTTGCTGCAACAGATCTTGTATGGCAGGAACTACATCAAGAGGTAAGAAACTCCGAGCGCGGGTGGGAGTGCGCAGAGCCCCAGGGCGAGCCCCGGCGTCCCCGGAGTGAGCGGCCATGGGGTCTGCACTTCACCTCGGGCGCTGCCGCGTTCGGTTCGGGACACCGCGCTCCAAAGCACACCTCTCCTCCCAGCCGGAGGCGAGTTCCTGCGCAGCGATGGCCGGGGGAGCCCGGCAACTTTGTTCTGTTGCTAAATATGGGGGACAGATTGGAATTCCGAGCTGCCAAGCTGACGGTAAATCCCTTTGAATGCTCTGAGCGGCCGCAGGGGTCAGATCGGTGTCCCCAGTCTACAGTGCCATGGCCATTTGGTTAGAGGGGAGGCTGCCGGGTGCGGAGGGCTCAAAACCGGAAAGGATTACCTCTTGAGTCCTGAACTTTTGTGGGGGCCCTTGGGGGAGAAAGCGTATTTTCTCTCCAAGAGTGCAGGGTTAAGTGGGGGTGACAGTGGGCTAGGACGATGCGACAGAGATAATAAATTCTTACAAACCAGTAACCACTGGATCTGTGAAACTCACAACCTGATCCCTTCTGAAATCGATGGTTCTTTCTCATCCTTATGCAGCAGGTCAGAGCTGCAGCAGAAGTTAACTCACCCCTCCTGGGCTCCCCTCTCACCCCACCTCATCCACGGGCAAACTCCATTAAGAGAAAGAGCAGTAGGAGGTGTCACTCAGAAACTCGGACACAGTCTCCGTCCCTGTGTGTGCGGAAAATACACGGAAATGCCAACGTTTTATTCTGCCTGCCCTGCTGGCTGAGGGCGGACGCTTCGAGTTACCCTGGCTGGTTTCAGGGCTTGGGGAGAGGGTTGCCCGAGGCTCCTCCCATTTGTTTTGGAAGGAGCCCACCTCTGCTTTCTGCTGGAGGTTTTTCCTTTGCTGTTAGCGTCGTCCTTACCATCACGGCCCCTCCCCCTGGACGCCGATAGAAAGCAAAATGCCTGGCTATAAACATCCTGTCGTCTTCTTTAAACTTCCAAGTAATAAAACAGTGGTTCTCTTTTCATCCTTTGGATTCCACATCATTCGTTTGTGCCCCTGGTCTGGACTACACACAGGGGTGGTTGAGGGACGTTGCGACTTATAGTGGGAAAGCTATTTCCTGGTCCGCGTCCCAAAGCTGGGGAGTGTGAGGCCGCCCGCCCAGGACGTTTGTTTCCAACCAGCCACTACTCTTGACCTTCCCAGAGAGCATTCTTCTCTGGTTGAAGGCAGCTGACGAGCTCTGCTTGGTGCTGGTGGCTTTAAAGGACATTTTCAGAGAGGCTGCAGGTTTGCTGCAGCCCCCTTGGGCCTGCCTCTTTTGGTTAGTGCCGCCCCCCAAGATGACCCTGGGCGAGGACAGCTGGGCCCCAGATGGCCTGCTTGCTGCAGCCCTGCCGGCCTCCGCCCGCTGCTCTTGCTCCTCAGCAGGGTGGCTCTGGGTTCCTGCCCCCTGCTGGCACCTACCCAGAGCTGCTGGGGCTGCCGGGATCCCGGCTGCCTGGTCAACAGTGGGAGACTACCCGTACCCGTGGCCAGCGGCATCTCAGCTTCTAACTACTGGCCGTGCCAAGCCGTCCCTGAACTTGGGTGGATGGGCCGGCTGCCCCGAGGTCAGCAGGCATAGCGGTCTCTCACCTCAGGCCGAGGGCAGCTCGCACACAGAGACCCTGACCCACTAAGTCTCAGAGGCCACCTTGCAGGCCTCACTCCAGGGACTGGGCTAATCCAATTAAGCAAACAAAGCTTGCACATATCCAATGCTGGATGGGGGCTGTGGGGTCTTTAAAGAAGATAATGTATGTGGTCCTGGGGTTCAGGGGGCTTGAAGTCTACTTGGGGAAGCAAAATGGCTACCAATGAGATAGGAAGTGAGTATTAAAATGTTTGAGGAGGCAGGCAATTCTGGGCTGGAGTTGTTAAGGAAGGCTGCCTGGAGGAGGTGGAACCTGAGTGGGCCGGTGAAGGAAGGAGATGATTGGGCAGGTGGAGAGGAAGTGCCCAATCAGGACTGAGGAGGGCAGGAGCAAAGGCGCAGAGATAGGGCATCACCTCCTCTCCCCTCTCCCAGGCTAACCCTGACTGTGCTGTGGCACGTAGCTTGACCATTGGTTAGTTGTTCGTGGAGGCCGCCCTGACCCTGAACCAGGTCGGGGCTGCTAGATTGGTGCACAGACAGCATCTGTTCACCTGTCTTGTTTCTTGCACATTTCATAATTGTGATGAATTGACTTGATGTCATTGTTGGTCTGTCTCCTGTCTAGAAACACTTGACACTTAAGCATTCCTCCAACACACGTCTTGGAACAGCTTGCATCCGAATCACCTGCCTGACCATTAAAATGCAGATTCCTGGGCCCCTCCCTGGGGTGGGATCCAGTCCCCTGCCTTTTTCTAAAAAGTGATTCCTTTTTTGGGGATCTTTTTTGGGGGTTAGGTAATTAGGTTTGTTTATTTATTTACTTATATAAGAAAGGTACTGGGGATTGAACCCAGGACCTTGAGCATGTTTAGCATGCGCTCTACCACTGAGCTATACCCTCCGCCCATCATCTGCCTTTTTAACCAGCTCCCCAGATGATTTGTAACAAGCTCTCTGGGCAGCTCTAGGCCTGTGGTTCTCAATCGAGGGCAGCGTTGCCCCCCAGGCAATGTCTGGAAATACTCTTGGTTGTCGCAGTGGGGAGAGAAGAGTATCTGGCATCTTGCAGGAAGAGGCCAGAGATGCGGCTAAAGATGCTCTGATGCATGGCCTGTCCCCAGAAAAAAAGCCTTATCTAGCCCCATGTGTCAGCAATGCTGAGGGGGAGAAACCCTGCTGTAGACTGAAATCTTCATTTCACTTGGTTTTGTCCTCAGCTGTACCCTTAGTGCCAAATATGGTACCTGGCACATAGGAAGTTCTCAAAATACTGGCTGACGAAGAAATGATTGAAAGTGGTGTGTGTGTGCACAGACCAGGGGTAGTAATTGCAGGAGATACAGGGAAGACATGGACCCCACTGGTAAGGAGTTGTGTAGGGAAGGAGGGGACAGATGTAATATTGGGTCAGTGGCTTCAGTGAAGTGCTCTGTGGATTGAGAAGGACAGTTTGAACTTGGTTCATTAGGCCATAGGGAGCCACATGTGGTCCTTGAGTAGAGTGGCGACGTGATAAAAGCCACTAGGCTGGATGGCTGCCTGCACCTTATAAGGAAGGGTTAGAGAAGGGGAGAGGGTGGGAGGCTGTTGTCACAGCCTGGTCAAAAGTGAGGAGAACATGGCTCTGGGGGCAGATCCACTTTGGAGCCAGGGGTTCACGCAGGTGGCCGGTCATTGCTTCCATGCTGAGTGGGGTGAATGTATTCAGCAAAGCCTTCATTGTCTGACATGACACAAAGCGCTCAGAGGCACAAAGAAGGCCAGTTGTTCCAGGGAGCACCAGGGGCAGATCACACCACAAAGAGGTGGGGGCGAGAGTCAGTGTGTGTTCTTTCTTTGGCTCCTGGCTTCTCCCTGTGAGGTTTAATAGGCACTTCCAGGAACGGGAGTTGGAGGGGAGCCCCCAGGGGAGGAGGAGAGAGGAAAGGGGGGCAGTGCAGGTGACTTTGTGGTCTCAGGATCTCTCCTGGAGAATGTGGATTAGGAGGAAAGGCAGGAAACGAAGCTGTGCAGCTTCCCTCGATGTTTCTTGGCTTCTTTGTCTGTTCTTGATTGAACAAATACTTAAGGAAGATTTTCTACACGCTCAACACCACAGTGCTGTGCAAGAAGACCCAGCCCAGGGTCCCTGGGAGCTTACCGTCTATGGGGGAGACAGAAAGGCACGTAACACACACATAAGGCGCCTGGAGGTGTGGACAGGGGACTCCACGGAGGAGGGAGCCATAGCGAATCAGGATGTCTTCAAGGTGCATGGAAGCATTTGAAGGGGGTTTTAAGGAAAGGGGAATGAGCCATAAGAACAGGCGGAGGTGGAAAGGAGAGGGGATGAAACCTGGCTTGAACGATGGTTGAAAAGTTCAGGGGAGACTTGAGTAATTCATCATAATTCGTGTATTACAACTGGGGCGGGGTGAGGCAGGCAGGGCTGGATCATGGAGCCCTAAGTGGGGAATCTGTGAGGAGGAGCACGTACGGAGGCAAGAGGCTAACAAGTTGGAGTCTAGATCTGCTCAGACACTTGGAGATCCGCTTGCGGCAATCCCCTTGGAGCGATCCCGCAGCTTGATGGAAGGGAGCTCGGGACTGTGAGGGGACAAGAGCCTGATGAACAATGGAGATTCTGGAGTCACCGAGCATCGAAGCATCAGTGTTTTTCTGGCTTTGATGATTGTTGTTCACTGTAAGAAACATGTTATACCCATGGATCCAGAACACACTCACGTACACATCCGTCTGAAACAATTTGTGATACAATATTTGGCCTTATTATGAGAAATTCACTTTAATATTTTCTATTCTACTTCAATAAAGAAAGTGTTTCCTTTTATTTAAAAAATAAATTCAGCCTTAGAAAGGAAGGAAATTCTGATGCGTGCTACAACATGAAGACATTATGCTAAGTGAAGTAAGCCAGTCACAAAAGGACTAATATTGTATGGTTCCACTTATATGAGGAATCGAATTCAGAGACAGAAAGTAGAAGGTTGTCAGGGGCTGCAGGGTGGAGAAACAGGGAGTAAGTGTTTAATGGGTACAGAGTTTCAGTTTGGGAAGATGAAAAAGCCTTAGACGATGATGATGGTGATTGCGCAGTAATGTGGCTGTGCTTAGTATCACTGAACTGTACATTTAAAAATGGTTAAAATGGTAAATTTTATGTTATATATATTTTAACATAATACATTTTAAAAGAAGTTCTGGGGCAAGCCACTAAATTGATTTTATAACCTATTGGTTGAAACCCTTGGTTAGAAAACCACTGGCCCATGTGATGGATGAAATCACCCAGGAGAGAGCAGAGTGAATGGGTGATGGGCAGGGGCACCAAGGGGAGCCTTGAGGGGTACCTGC